TTTTATTTTGGGGCAAATTTACTGTACTATTTTTGTTCGAAATGGTCAATGTCCTTTTAAGGAGTAAGTAATAAACTAATATGTGTGATTAATCTTAGACAATTACTTATTTTATCCAACAATGCAGTTGCGTTTATACTACATATAATTTTACATAATTTGTTCAAATTGAATATAAATTACTAAGGGGTTATAATATAAATCGATTAATATTAGTTCCATTCAGGGCCCCCAATACAATGTTGGGCCCCTGTACTAAATGTTTGTCCGGGCCCTTTATAAAACTTCCAAAAAATTTACCATCCATATATATTACAATTTTTGGAATAATATTTTATTTTTTAATTATACCAATTCGAATTCAATCTTCATAGTTAAGATAGGACAACAACATTTGTAGGGTCAGCTAGTAAATTATAAAAAAATCAAGATTTATAAGCATTTTAACATTAATAATGTCTTTTTTATTTTTTTATTACAATATTATCTAAATTTAAAAATGAAAAAAACAAGTATATTTTAATTTTTATGTAATATTTTTTTTTAAGTTAAAATTTTATTATACGAGCTTCTAGCTCGTAATTATGCCGTAATTATGTCGTAAAAATTGATTGTCGAAGCCAATTGATTTTCCATTGATAAAAGAGCAAGTGAGCTTAATCGTTGTTGACTCGTTGTGGATCTTTGCCACGTCTCTACTAGTTCAGTGAATTTCCCAAGTTTCTGAAAGACCTTTCTGCTTCTGCTTCAGTCACTGGAATAGTACAAAATATCCGAAGACTAATACACAAGTTTACAAAAATTGTTTGCATGTTTAATAGTTCAAGTGGTGGCATTACATTAATTTTTTGAAATGTTTAAGAATATATTGTTTTCAGATGTAACATTTCTTGACACATATATTCAGATAAATCAGATATGTATTTTTGTACAAGTGATTTTGTTCTCAATTCCAATTCTTCATTGGTCAGTGCCCAGTGGTAAAAAGTTTAATAATGGCTCAAATATATGTTGCAAATATTTTTGACCGCTTGAAATCAATGATCTAAGTCTGACAGAATAGTTGACTATCAAAATGACCAAATATATCTATGTATATATATTTAATAAAATGTAATTTTATAATATTATTTAATATAAAATAAGTATTTCTACTAAAATTTCAAAAATTACAAATAAATTTCAACCTGTCCACGGGCTCTTAAAATAGCCGAGCCCCTGTACTCAAGGTCGATCAGCTCCCCCCCCTTGTGGGGGCAATAGTTCCATAAATAAATTAATAAATAGGATTATCAGTCATTGTTTTAACTTTATATTTTCATTATTAAAATTAAAATTTGAATAAATACTTAGATATTAAAAATGAATACAACTATTTATGAATAAAAGTTATTCTTTATTTCATTATTTTAATGTAAAAAGTATAACTAAATTGTTCAAATTAAAAAGTAAAGTAAAAATTATGTTATGGTAATGGTTCATATATTCAACAAATCGATTATTTTTAGTGATATTGTGATATTGTGCCAGCATATAACTTGAAGTTACTACTCTTATGTTATTTTTTTAATATTATTATTGTAATTAATTGTGTTGTTTATTCACTTATGTCGGTCCATAATCCATACTATAATCCTTATTCAACAGTTTTGAATTTTATTTATTGATATCAATTGAAAAACTTAATAGGTATCTAGTGTTATAGTAAAGGAAGTTTATTAATATAATATAATATGTCAATAAAATCTACTCATCCTCAATACTTAATTTTTCATAGGTACGGGTACCTACTAAAGTAGTTTACACTATTGTTTCAAAAAATAAACACATTATATTAACTAATATTTAAGTATTTTCTGGCCCTTGAAATTTATTTTTCAAATTATCTGGACAGCCTTAGAACTTAATTGCTGACCTGATTTAAATATTAAAATTTAAAACTACTGGGAATTTAAAATTTTGATTTCCCCAATGCACTAACTAGATTCACTTTCTCGCCGGCAAAGATACTGAAGTTAAATATTGAAGTGCATTATTTCGACTACTATTATCGTGTGAACAGACACAAAAAAAAAACACATCACACATAGCTCAACTCGGAATCTAAAATTATCATAATCGTATGTAAAAAATAATATCACAAAATAAATATAGCTCAAATGTTTATCATAGATAATTATTGTAAATTGTAGTTATTATAAAATTATATTAATATTTTTTAAACATTATTTTTAAATTAAAAAAAACTTATAAACATCTATAAATTATTACATTTTCAACTTATAAGACTTGTATGATTATTATACATTTATGTACCTACCTATCTGCTGTTTATATAGTGTTTACTGTTTAGAAAATGTTATCACTTATATTTTATACACATTATAAACTGTATACTTACCTACGAGAAAAAAATAATGTAGTCGACAAAAACTCTACGAAGATTGACGGTTTTTAAATCCACCTTTTGAAAAAAATTAAAATTGTATCACCACACTACCACAGGGTAATTTCTTCAATGGCACCTACCCATAAAAAAACGTATGTATTAGAAAAAGTTATTGCATTTAAGATAACTTAAACTCAACAGCTCGGTGAATCACACCTGTATGGTTGTCCAATTATGGCGATAAATAGTTTGTTACATCGTGATTACATTGAAGTCGATGGGACAAAGTGGGGGGGGGGGCAAATGAAATTGCCCCCCCCCCAATTTCGAATTTGAGTTTACTCAAAACTGGATGATTTGAAATTAACGAAACTCGATTTGCAATTGTTTAGTGGTATTTTGAAATTATTAGGACAAAATATTATGTCTTGGTTCATATATTCAACAAATCAATTATTTTTAGTGATATTGTGATATTGACATATTGTGCCAACACAATACTATGTATAACTTGAAGTTAAATGTTTATATTATTTATTTAAAATTTTAATTATATTTATTCATATCAATTAAAAAACTTAATAATCATCTATTGCTATTTGTCTTATAGTAAAAGAACTTTATTGTTCATACAATTATAATTAATATAATTTAATATGTCAATAAAATCTACTCATCCTCAATACTTGGTATTTACATAATTTTTCATACCTACTAATGTAGTATACATATTTTATAATGCATCGGGAAATTAAATAAATCCATTAGGTAGATATCAATATATTGTACATTTTCAAAAGTAGATTTCATTCAGTTGGTACCAAATATCAATAGACATTTAAGTTTAGAAACGAAAAAAATCTTAAAAGCTTACAGTCGACCTTAAATGTACCAAATTCGTACATAAATAAGTAGTTACAATATAAGCAATTATTATGAATGTGCGATCAATATTAAATGTTTTAAATCGGTGTTTTTTGATCTTCGGCCTGGGTAGTATAAACTACAACCAAGGAAAGTTTAAGTCGACGATGATGTTTTATATCTTGCGATGTACTATCATTTGTTTTCAATTGAAATCGTTGATCGACGAAAATATGATAAGGGTAAATAATATATTATATTCAATTTAATATAAATACTTTCATAATATGATACATCATATATATATATATTGCATAATTTAAAAGAAATATAAAAGAAAATGATGTATTTGTAAAGAAATTGAATTCAATAATAATTCCAAGCATGGGAAAATCAATGATAGTTTTTAACTGAATTAAGTTAAGTTGATAGAAAACATTTTAAAAAATGTAAAGTTAAAAGTTATCTTAGTGAAGTTAAAAGTTATATGGAAAATTGGAACCTTGCAATTAACTTATTATTTTAAGTTTAGTTTTTTAAAATTTTTTTTTTATATAATATAAATAGCCAGGTGCCAAGTTATATGGCTCAAAATAATAAAAAGTAAATGTTTAAGTAATAATATGTACCATCCATAATAATTGTATAATATTTATTATTTCATTAGTTATAAATCAAAATAAATTCGATTTGGTTAAAAGTAACTCGTTGTTTATTCAGTTTATTTCAATAAAAATCGGTTAAGTTAAAAATCAAATATTAAAAAACTAAAACTAAAAATTTAAAATTAACGTTTACGCCCAGGATTGAATTAATCATTGTATACGATAAAAGATTCTGAAATGAAACGATGTGTCAATCTCATTATACTAGGACTGCAATTTATTATTTGTTTATACTTCAATTTATAATTTTTATTTTGTTTTAGTGATATGGTATGTTGAATAAATTTTTGATAAAATCATTTCATATAACTTATCATTGTAATATCAAATAATATACATTATATAATTTAGAATTGATATTTTTGAAAATCCATTATGTCAATAAAATAACAATATAAGTAGTTCATGGCAAAAAGTTTCAAGTCTTTCTACTATTAATATTTTTTTGAATTACAACCCAGACAGCATTTTGTAATGATAATATTGTAACATTATTGTAATGTTATAATAATATTTTGAAACCAAAAAAATGTCTGGGAGCATTACTAAAACCATTAGGTATTGAAAAAAACATTATTTTGCATGTTTTTTAAAATTAGTATGTCTGATCTATAAAAACCTAAACCCATGTTGGGTCGAAGTTCTTTAAATTTTTTGCATTACCTTAAAAACCATATAAATTACCCACTTAAGTAATAGGTGGCCAATAAGTTATTTTTTTTTTACACTTAATTGCTAATTTATATTATTGGTCAAGATACTGGTAGGAATGTTGTAACACAACCCACTGATTTGGTCTTGACTATACATATTTGTATAACTGAACCAAATAAAAATGTATGCTACATTAATTGCAAGATTGAAATGTACATAATTAGCTAAAAACGTTTCAATATATTTTGAATCGTATAAATATGAATACCGTTTTATATAGATATCCATAAGTTGTTCAAATAGTTTTAAATTTTTAAAATATATTTTATGTACCTACCTATCATAAATACCAATAATATGTACTATGTGATATGCGTATCATTAATGTGAAATTATATATTTTACAGGCAAAACAGATTGATCCACTCATGTTTGACATAACTTCAATAATAGTAATATGTGGTTTTGAAATAGTAACCACTGCAAAAGTATTATCCAATGTATGGCGCCTATTTTTCGATACTCAACTATCAATGATAGTGGCTAAACTTGAAGCAACTCACGAAAAATTGATACAATTGAATTTAGTTCGAACTATGCAAACAAAAATGAATTTTCTTTTCATAACAGGAGTTATTGTACATCTTATAGCAAGTAATACACTCCTGATCAAATGGATGTTATCGAGTTATTTCATAAATGAACTATCCAAAACTATGGTAATAAATAATAATCAACAACTAAAATTATTTTATAGTTACCTATATAAACTTGTTGTTCTTACTCTCTGTGGTTACTTTCCGTTATCCACGTATTTTAGTATCAAATGTATTTTGAAATTTTTGTTTTTAAGCAATGTTAAATGGTTTGTATATAATATCCTACTGTACCATCACAATTCATTCTGTAATTTCTTTTTAACACATTAAGAAATTGATCATTAGTAGATAATATTATTTTTCAGGCCCAAGCGTTGTTTACAAACATAATTGAATGCATTGCATTTTATGAATACATACTACTGATATTATACATTCGGTGGATGGTGTACATCATAAACGAACAAATCCCGCAAAGACATTCAACCATAAGTACCCTCAGAGATATGTATTTGGAAGTTATAGAATGCTTGAACGATATCAATAGATCAATATACGGTTTACCGGCCATATGGAGTTTTATTGGGGCAAATGTTAGTCAAGTGGAGCTTATACTGTACTATGGTATCATTTTTCGTAGATCAGATGAAACTGGATATGTAACATATATTATTATAACAATATTAACAAGATTATTTAATGTTATACTATTTTACGGAATTGGTGATGCCACGGAAAAAGAGGTTTTTATAATATGTTTAACACGCAATAACTTACCTTTTTATTATTACTCAAAACATAATAATGTTACCGCCACATAGGTACATCTAGTGTAAACATGTTTGATACGAATTAAACATTATTATTCAACAGTTAATTAATCAGTACAATATACATAATTTATAGATTTATAAAGTGACTAACATATTATGTATTAAATATTAATTCAATTTAAAATTTATTTTTTGGTTTACAGATAAATCGGATGAGTCTTGTCTTAAGCCAACGGTCCATGATAGAAAAAAACCCAAGAATAAAACGTCAGGTATAATTAATGTATTGATTAAAATAGCAATATTTTATTATCTGTATATTTTTAAGCATTTACTGACACGGAATAACTGTTTTTATTTTATTTTTTTACTATTTAGATTAAGTTTTTTATCCTACGAAGACTGCACGAACACTATCATTTTAAGGTGTTTGGAATATTTGGAGTTAATTTAAGACAATTACTTCTTTTATTAAATAATGCAGTTGGTTACTTAGTAATACAATCGTTGTTTAGATTGAATAGAATTAAGAATATATAACCAATCGGTTGTGAATTTTTTTTATTATTATATAGTGTTGTTATAGTCAACGTTTCAACTTTATATTTTAATTGTTGAAATTTAATTTTGAATAACTATTTAGATATTAAAACTTAAAAGGTAAGAACCTGTTAGAACCTAGTTGAACCTGTTTAAGACATTATGTTAAGGACTAGTTAAAAATAGCTTCTTAAGCGTGAAATCGTATTAGTTATGTTGAACGGTATCAGAAACACGAGACAAGTAAAAATAATGTGGAAATCATTATAAGCAAGAGATCATTATAAGCAACGGATTCTACTGAATTTATATTGATAAATATTAAATATATTATACGTGATAACTGATAATATATAATAAAGGCTGGACAAGTTAACTAATATTTACAATTCGTTTGGTTAATATAGAATAATTTAAGTTAAGTTCAAAGTTATTATTTTAGATTCTCAGTTGTGTGAAGTATTGATATTCTACAGTGATGTTTATCTTAAAATTTGATTGTTTATGTTTTTACACGAAATTTATTAGAAGAAATGCTTCAATTTTCAACTCTGTCGGTGGATTCTTATAGAATTTTCTTATTTACTTGGAAGTTTTAACAAATTAAAATTGAAAATTCTCAGGACTTTTCTTTGTATGAAATTGATTGAACATTTTATTAAATGTCTCTCATATGCTGTTAATTTACTAACAATTGTATTCTAATTATATTTGTATATAAATATAGCCTATAATTAATATCATATAAAACATCCTTGGCTGACAAACTGTCTCCACTCAGCGAATTGTTTTCTTACCTATACAATGTGATTATATCATTGAATTTAAATTTAACACCATTCATGTTAGTGGCCTACTTGTAACCTACTGTAAAGCTGATCGACACCCATTTACCCGATTTTTACTTTTAACTCCCCAAAGTACCAACTAGTTTTTGTGACGGCGTGTCAAGTAAGTGGCAAGCAGTCTTCTCAAATAACAACACTTGGTGTTTTGGTATTACCCGGTACGTCTCCTCTATATTTTACTTATATAAATATTCATTGCAAAATGTATTTATGCAGAGTAAAGTGTCGACACTGTACCGACCAGGCTTAGATAAGTGAGCCAGTATAAGCGGCAGTGCTTGGGACAGTCAGGCCGAGGCGTGACCCTAACTTGGCAATAATGGGAATAGTGTTGGTATTCACAGTCAGGGTGACTGGACTAAGCGGCCTGTACGTGATTGCACTGAAAAGGGTTGTTTTCGTCGGGTTGCTGATATGGTAGTATTCGGATTTCGTAGGTGATTTCTGCTCTTGTCAACTCCATTGTTCCGGTGCCAATCGTACTCAGTAGGCTACCACTTACCGGTGATTAAAATCGAGGTGGCGGTCGTTGGTCGGTGGCTGTTGAATGATGCCGCTGGAACGCGGAAGTCGTCTTCGATTGTCAACTAGTCGCGGAGTTGTATTTATATAGGTTATTTTGAATTTTCTCTATATTGATAAAAGGGCATTCAATACTTCGTCAGTCTACAATTTAGTATTTAAAAAACATATTATTACAATATTACTTATAAATCTGTATTAGGAAAAATATTAACTTAATATGACTATAAAATTATTTAACTGAATAGTAACTGCCTGTATAACAGATTGAAATTGAACTCGCTAAGTTAGAAGTTACTTTAAAAAAACGTAAATCGTTATGTAATTATTAAATTTCAAGATTTTTAACTCAAGTTAGTGCCCAACCGTGGTTAAAATTTAACTAAAATCACATTGTGACTGCATTACATATGCATGTATACTATATAGGTATTTTATTATTTATATTGTGTTTCTACTTAATAGTTTATTCAAAGACCGTAGTTTTTAGAAACAGTTAACAGTCATAATAATAATGTATTACAAATCACGATGTTAAAATATGTATTACCACTTAAGTTAGTTTGAATAATTACATATTTTATTTCTCAAAGGTTTTGGGTTTATATTCGATAATATTTAAAAGAAACGCTGTTTACATGTCGGTCCAAATCGCATCACTCAAACAGAGCTCTACTGAGAGGTATAAAATTATACATATTTGATGTTAAACTACATTGCGGTGGTCCGCGTAGTATATACGAATTATGTAAACGCACTGTACATATTTTAAGTGTCTGACTCTGAAGTTTATCTGACAAGAGTAAATAATAGTGTAGGTATTCACTATGTTTTATGAAATGTCGTCTTGTTGATTATTAAAACTTTCAGTGTAAATTTCAAAACTTTACCCAATTAAATCAACCAAAACCACCGCGGAAAACTGTTTAATATATTTGGCAAAAATTCTCTCTCAGATGGTTTCTCGTATTTTCAATCTAGATTAATAAGTTATGATTCAAAAGTATAGGTAGGTAACCAAAGTCCATAAATTAAGTGTAATTACGACGAAACGTTTCGTGTACATAAACTATTGCAAATATTATAGCATACAAACATTATACCGTTAATAATAATTATTGAATTCTGTGGCAATAACTGCAGAGTGAAACATAACGCTTGGGCACAATTAATATGCTCATATAATCGACGGCTTTTTGTGGTATTGAACTAAAATTTAAAAAAAAAGAAGTTTTTTTTTGACGTTCTGTACATTGATAGTAAAACAAGAATAAAATTTATGTTAGGAAATATCTAAGGCTATGATACATGTAAAATGTCTTGAGTAAGTAAAAAAGTGGCATTCAGCTTTCGACAGTTCATCGATGATTAGGTTAACGGGGTAGTGTATAATATATACGAATAAATGTAAATATTTATTTAATAACTTAAAATAAAATATTTTCATTTATTATAATAACGATTTCCGTTAATTGTTCTCGCATAATTATAAGTTTAAATATGCTGCACAGATTAATGGAGATAAGTATCGAGTCACACCGGTGGTAGTATTGACTGACTTGTGTAATACGCTTAATCAGTGTACTAGTATTGTTTCGTATTTAAGCCACAAATTAACAATTTTCTTTTAAATTAAAAAAGTTCTAAGGTCGAGAACTGCCAGGCATATTATGACCGGTACACGGTTATTTCATCTACAGTTTTGGTCGCAATCTGTAACTTTTTGTAATTTGATAATATATGGTTTTGTGTAAAGGTACGTTGTCCCTGCAGAGTCAATACTGCAGGTCCGGACATAGATGGGCCGTGCTGTTCCACTGTTCGAACCTTTAATGTTTATTGCCGTTTCACGTGGATGCGTGTCATACGTGACGTACCATACCCAACCGTTTTTATTTATATTGGTTAAACTCATACTCGTCACTCAGACGATGGAGAGTTTCCCTCGCCAGTATGGAGCGTGCGTATATGAACCTAATAAATTTAAACTAGAAACGCACGCGATATAAGTCTCTTATAATATGCGTCCATGTAAAAATGAAGAGAAAAACGCATTAAGACGTGTGTAATCGGCAGCGTTGGCGTTGGCATCTTATCACCGGGTCGACACTCGACAGCTGCTGGAAAGCTGCTAGACTCCCGACAGCCGTTGTGTAGCTAGTTTGCCTATCTATATCGCCGTGTGATCAAAACTTTTCTATCGGAATGCTAATAAATTAATAATAATAACATAATAATATTATTGCTATGTTGTCCTTCGCCGTCGTTAGTACATCGATACTCGATAGCCACCAGCTCATCACCATGAAGCTGTATCATATTTATTATTATTATTGTTATTTTTTAATCACCGTTCATATAATATATTATTATAATATATGACGTGTAAGCGTTTTTTTAATTATTTTGTATATTATTAATTATTATAATAATGTATCATGGCCGTAGCTTGCATTTTATTATAAGAGTTATAATAATTTATATGCTCATAATAATATCCTAGTACATCAAACAACGTTTTCATTATGTTTATAATAAATTGTACCTACTTGGTCATTATTTCAGTCTTATCCCATATACCTACCAGTTCGTTCGTCGCAAAATGTCGGTTTAACTATTATGACTAAAAATCCTTCGGCAATCAACTATTAGTAGCAGAGCTTGGTTGCAATATTTTTATTTCCATACTTTATGAGATAGGTACTGAAAAAAATGGTTCCATGACCGTGGTATTTTTGATGAGATTAGTAGAACATCCAAGCTAGGTGTTTATTTATTTTACTTTGTTTCCATTTTATTTCGATTTTACTAAACATCAGTTTGGATTTTTTTTTTTTAGAAAGTGCTAAATAAATATGATCGTTGTAGTGACCCTACTCAATGAAGATATGTATACTCGAAAAGCAACTTCTCTGGCCCTGGTTTCCTCACATAGTCACATATGTAGATACTCACATTTCTTTCGATATGTATATAATTCCGTATCACCTATCTCCAATGAATATTATAACATTTTAGCTTTAGTTTTGAAATTAATAGTGACTGTATAATATACTGCAGATATAATTTAATGTATCTAGTGACTCTGATAATAATTTCAAAATATTTCTATTATACCCCATTTAATTGCAATTCAATAAATATAATTTAAATATATATATTCTCCAAAAGTTGACCACTTTCTGATTTATTAAAAATAAATGAGTATATTGATTACAAAAAAACTTGTACGGGTTCGGCTTTTACCGTACGATATATTGGATTATAATATTAAAATACATTATATTAAATTGTATCCATCGGTACTTACAGATCTTATATTATATAATTTATATAAATATAATTAGTTGGACAATAAAAACAACGTTACTACTGTGAAATAATAATTTGTCTTAACAAGTCTATATAATGTGATATCCCAAGCATGCTTACCCCCAATTTTTCTTTTAATAATTAATTAATTTAAATTCTGATTTGTGGAATTTTTATGTATATACTTAAGGATCATAAACATCTAGTTCTTATTTTATACCAAGGATGTCTTTTGGCGATTAAAAACTTGATATTTTTCAATCTACCTAGTAACATCTGAGTTATTATAATTTATGTTCTATGACAGTATTATATTGT